TGGCGTGATATGGGCTGATGAGTTTGCGACCAATCAAGAGTTGCCACGTCCAAGACGGGCTTACTAACCTATATAAGGGCTGGGTTTCCGACATTCGGGGTCTTCGCCCTGTAAGCTTATGCTCTCCCTCTCAAGATGCATTAAAGCTTTTCTGCAGAAGGATCCTGAGTGTGCCGCGTCGTTCTTGCTGGCGAGACGATAGCGCAGGACAACTGGTGCCGAAACCCGGGAATTCGACCAAACCATCGTCAGCACCATCGGAGACCTCTTGAGTTCAAGGAGGATTCAGAACTGCAGGTAAGGACGTTCAGAGAGGTATGTTTTTTCTGGACTTTGGCTTGAACCTGTTTCCGCTTTGGAAAGGTAGCTTTGAGGCCTTGGTTATCATTCTGGGAGCACTTATAGTTTTGTTGTATAAAACATGCCAGGCCGTTGTGGCGGAAAGTCGAAATGTTCTTGAGGAAGTCCAGGATAGCATGTCAGAAACTGAACGCAGTGAGAGGTTAGGTGCACGAAAAAAGAAACGGGCCCCAAATAAGGAAAATGGCCCTCCCGGAAGGTCTGTTGACAAGGGAGCGTATTTTAAAGAGCCTAGAGATTCTTTGCCTGTCGAGAGGCCGGACAAAGGAACTAGTATATACCCCGTCCGAGAACTAAAGGCTCTGCAATTAAGTAGTTCAGGAAGCCCCGGGAGCTCTGAGGACGAGAGCCTTGACCCGGAGGAGGAGGCGGAGCTAGATGAGGAAGTAGCGAAGTATGAGGAAGAAAGATATCATCCAGATGATCATGTACAAGGCAGACAAGGCCTGGGTTTTTCCTAGGTGCCACTGAGGCAGTACGGCCCATACCATGGAAAACGGAGCTCAAGCAATAGATTGCTGACAAGACAGCTCTTGCACGCCCGGAACCTAGGTTCATTGCACTGGGCAGAGTGTCCAACACAGCACCCAAAGAGGGTTGTTGAATAAGGTATCGCACAGGGGGTCATTGTCCCGCTGAGAGACATGTCGTTCTGCATAAGGGTTGCCTGCCCGAGTTTCCCTTTCCCAGAAAAATGGCAGAGGACAGGTTGGGAGTATCCTGGGCTCCAGAGTAGACCTAGGGATGACTCCCATACATGGTCTGATCAAGATTTTAACTGGGAGGTTCGACCACTGTCTCTACCCTCTCATTTTGGGAAATCTATTTGCTTCATATAAAGTAAAAAGAGGGAGATGTGGGGAGCCGCCTGCCGGGTCCCTGCAGACGCCATTACAAGATGGCGCTCACATCCGGTTCATGCTGAGCAGTAAATAAGTCAGTACGCATGCCCGAAGTAATTTTCCACCTTCTAGTCTCTGCCTACCTCGTGGCGTGATATGGGCTGATGAGTTTGCGACCAATCAAGAGTTGCCACGTCCAAGACGGGCTTACTAACCTATATAAGGGCTGGGTTTCCGACATTCGGGGTCTTCGCCCTGTAAGCTTATGCTCTCCCTCTCAAGATGCATTAAAGCTTTTCTGCAGAAGGATCCTGAGTGTGCCGCGTCGTTCTTGCTGGCGAGACGATAGCGCGGGACACATGTGGGTGCTGGGATTTGAACCCAGATCCTCTGCAAGAGCAGCCAGTGCTCTTAACCAATGAGCCACCTCTTCAGCCCCTCAAGCTAACTTTTAAAATTTTTTATTTTTATTTTATGTGTATGAGTTTATTGCTTGAATACGTGTAGGAGCACCCATGTCAATGCCCCCAGAGGTCAGAAAAGAGTGTGAGATCCCCTGGAACTGGATTTACGGACAGCTGAGCCATTTCTCCACTCCTTCTATCCCATTTTTATACCATTCCTTTATTTATCAAGTATTTACTAACCGATTACTGTGTTTCATGAAATATTCTGTGAGACAGACATGCACGAAAATTAAAGCCAGAAACCCAGCAAAACCCTTGTTCTTGTGTAAGCTTTAACTGCAGCAGGGAGACGCTGGCAGTAAACTTCAGTAAACTCTAAAGTATACAATGAGGTAGGGTGATCAAGCTGGGCCTTAATGAAAAGGTATATTTGAGAAGACACTTGAAAGAGGTGAACCATGTAGTTATATAAAGAAAGGCTGCTGCAGGCTGAAAATCAGAGCCAGCACAAAGGCATAACAGCATACCTAGAACACTCATAGACTGTTCAACTGCTGTGGCAGGTGCAGTGAGTGAGAAGCAGGGGAAAAGATGAGGACAGAGAGAAGATACACAGAGTGAAGGCCTCCCAGTGACTACTTCTGAGACATGAATTTTATTCTAAGACAGGAAGCACTGCGAGAGACACTGTCAGTGGTGAAATGGCATGATAAGACTCAAGAGTTTAAAAGACTTGAGAATGTTCTATGCTACTATGCACAGAACTAGAGAGGGACAAAGGGGGAAGCAGGAACTCTGGTGGAAAGTGACTTTAGTAATCCAGGTGAGAAAGCACAGCAGCTTCTGTGAGTGGTAAGGAAAGGTCAGTGTTTTGAAGGCATAATCCAGAAGATTTTTCAACACATTGGATATAAGTTGTGAAAGTCAAGATAAAATGAAAGTTTTATAGGAAGAAAAGGGAATGAGGTAAGATGTGGCATTATTTGTGATGAGAGACTGGGTGGATAGGTTCTAAGGAGAGATCTGCAGTTGTCTCATATATTTGAAATATGTGGTGGATATTCAAACAGGCACAAATAACATATAATGTTTGTGTTCCACATTATAAAAGCAGGTTCTTTCATCTCCTTACACAAATCCTACATTCTAGACTCACAGACCCTGAAGTCCTCCTTGTGTCCTGGTGACAGCCCATCTACTCTGAATGTTCTTCCCCATTCTCATTGCTTTCTACTTAAGTCAAAACAATCTCAGCCTTCAAGACATCAGTCACCTACACCTACTCTGTGAAACACAGGACTGGCACTTCCTGAATCACCCTGTTTGTATCTCTCAGTCACTTAAGACTAAAATCTGAGTGGTTGGTTAGTCCATTTTTGGTATGAACAGGGCAGCCATTCTGCAAACACAGCAGGTGGCCTGCTTGCTCTAATCATCAGACATCTTCAGAAATCCTTTAAAGAAATTAAGACCACAGAAAGAGAACTTGACAAGAATCCTAGGACCTAATTTTGTGTTTTTTTTTTACCATCTGTAGTTACCTGACAAAGACCATTTTTCAAAAAGACTTGCATATAGCATAAGCTTCATAGGTTGAAAACAAAGAATGAATCATCATTTAACTACTTTACAAAGCTCTCTACATTATAAAAATTTTTATTTTAATTGTCATTCTTTTTAAAATTTTTAATTTTAATTTTATTTTATGTGTATGAGTGTACTGCCTGTGTGTATGTAAGTGTACCTGTGTTGTGCAATGCTCACAGAGGTCAGAAGAGGGCATCAGATCCCTTGGAACTTCAGTTCCTGGATGGTTGTTAGCTGCCATGTGGCTGCTAGGAATTGAACCTGGGTCCTCTGGAAGAGCAACCAGTGCTCTTAACAGCTGAGCCATTTCTCCAGCCCAACTGTTATTATTTGCTCCAGGGAGGCATTTAAATTAGGGGGAATGATTAGACAAACAAAACAAAAAACTCTAGCTCTTCTGCATCACTCCCAGGAAACAGGAATCTACCTTAATTGAAAAAGAAGGGAAACTTACAATGTGAAAGTTAGAGCTGCCTCTTTCAAGTAAGAACCCTGACAGCCATGAAGTACCTTCTCAAGAACCAGCTCTGCACAGCTACAACCTGCCAGCTGGGAAGTTTCAGAGGGCTGAGAATGTTTGCCCATGTACTACTGTTTCTCTAGTACCTAAAGGCACCTGGCAGATAGTCTGAATGAATGAATGAATGACTGAATGAATGAATGATTCTAAATATCATGGGGCTGAAATATATCAAATAAAAATCATAAAATTGGTATAATGTCTTTCTTAAGGGTCTAAAAAATTGCTGAGTCATTGAAAGTCATAAAATTTGGGATATTATGAATCTAAAAATATTGTCTTTAAATTCTAATGAAGAATGTCAATAGCAACAAAAGTTGAAGGCAGGAGAAGAGTCTGAAGCAAAAAAATCTCACTAGCTATGTAAGTTTATAAAATTCTCTGTCCATCAAAAGTAAAGATGATCCTTTAGCAACCGTACTGATTTCATACAGCAATTTAATAAATACTCATTACAAGAAAACTACAACCTTAGAAAATAAAAACACCACAAAGACCTATTTAACATGTCATTAGAGTACCAAGTGGGCTGGGAGGATGGCTTAGTCTTCTAAAGTGCCTGCTGTATACTATGAGGCCTGAGCAAAAGAGCCAGACAGAATAGCACACATTTGCAATCCCAGTGATAGAGAGGTGGAGACAGGATTCCTGGGGTTTGGTGGCT